TTTTTTCTCCATGAAATTTATGAAATCCCAGCATGCACGCTTCCGATAAATATTTGTTATTAAAGCATCAACATTCACAGAACACTGTTATTTTTAACTAAAGCAAGTGGCTGCTGCGTGCATGGTTAGGCAGAATGCCAGCAAAGAGCACTGCATTTATAATCTCTAAAAGACATCTCAGTTCATCGCAATCTCACAAATCTCTATTATAACACAATAAATATATGCATAATGAATCTTTCATAATGTCTACAATTCGTGTGTTATAATGAGAGGATTTGTGAGCACGCAAATTTCAGCACTGCATTGCTCAATGCTGCAAACACGTGTTATAGCCTAAATAGAAAGTCTGCATACTCCTGCACCTGTTAATCGTTTATATTTTATATTAGTTCATGTTGCTTTTGTGCAATAGATGAATAACAATTTATTTGTTTTAGATATTTTATGTTTAGATATTTCTATTTTGCGGGAGTCCCGTGAATCATTTTATTCTCCCGCATCCCGCACACACACGAGTCTCTGCATTTGCCTATCAAGTCTTGTCCCGCGCCGCACTCTGTTGCGTCGGGTCTCGTGGGAGCAGGTCTCTAATCCACTGGGACTTAACTCGACAGTGCGTGTGCTACATCCTTTTTACAATATCTAGATTATAAAACACTGCATTCTGTCAGCAATGTAACGTGGCAGTAACGTATAGAGACCTCGGCTTGTAACTATACTCTATAATTACTATAAAACTATATAATTACTATTTTGAAAATTATAACGCGTTAAATTACTCCATTACTAAAAAAGTAATCAAATTACAGTAACGCGTTACTAAGTAATTTGTTACTGCCCAACACTGGTCATGAAGTCTACATAAAGCATGCATTTGTTTGTTTATACAATGAATCAAAGTTAGTTGTAAATATTAATGCATATTGGCTTGCCAGCTGTAAACAGCCTCCAATTTGGCTGATGGACTATGCTACTTGGTGAAAGCGTGGTTTATTTTTGCTTCGTGCCCAAGTAACTGTAACTTACCGTTTTAATCAGTGCGCCTACCTACTTGGCAGTCTTAAACATATGACCTTATGTCACATTACAGTGAATATTTCAAATAGAAATGACTCAGACAATATTAGAGTTTACTGTGTGTGAGTGTGTCTTTAAAGGCCATTTCTGACTCCGTCATCATGTTCTCTCAGTACTGCAGTGACCTTGGCTTTACCCACGTTTGTAGCCTTTTAGTATGCACGACTCAACCTTGTAATGACAAATCACCATGCGTCATACTGTTCTCAACTGGGCTATTCTGTGTGAGAATAACCATATGCCAGTCCAATGGCCTAATGAACAAACCAGAAATCAGTTTTCACTTTATCAGCACACTTAAACCACTAAAGCAACTCGGTTTCACTCTTGTTCTCATTTAATGAAACGCAGAACACTTGCGATCATGAGAAACCAGGAAGTAGGGAAGTATGCGGGTGTTTCCAGGCCTAGAAATGTTTGAATCTTGATGGGAATATACAGTACTGTTCAAAATGATGGGGTCAGTAAGACTATTCAAGGACTGATTAAATTAATGAAAAGAGACAGTAAATACATTTGTAATACAAAACATTTCTATTTTAAATAAATGCTGTACTTTTTATTTTTCTATTTATGAAAAAGAATGCTGATTTTTTTTTTTTTATCATGCGGCAGCACAACGGGTTTTAACACTGATAATAATAAGTGTTTCTTGATTTCTGAAGGATCATTCTAGAATAGGAAAATTCAGTTTGCTATCATAAGAATAAATTACATTTGAAAATATATTAAAATAGAAAATACTTATTTTTTTAAGATTTATTTTTGGCGTTTTTGCCTTTTATTGATAGGATAGTAGTGAGACAGGAAGCGAAGTGGGAGAGAGAGGGGGGATGGGATCAGGAGCCGGGACTTGAACACGGGACGCCCGAAGCGCAATGGCGCTACATGTCGACGCGCTGCCCACGAGGCTGTCGGTGACAATGAAAATACTTATTTTAAATTGAAATAATATTTGACAATGTTACTGTATCAATTAAATAATTTTGATTTTCAGTAAATTACTGCCGCCTTGGTGAACATAAGAGACTTCTTTCCAAAATCTTACCAACCCCAAACTTTTGAACAGTAGTGTTAGTGTATGTTTCTTTTTATGCTCAGCTCTAACAAATTTTGGGCTAGATTTTGTCTCTTTTTGAGTGGAATCTGTATAAAATAATTTTTTTAACAAACAAATCCTTGTCCAGTAATTTGAATGACAGGAAAGTCGTGAAAAAGTATGGAACTTCAGATACAGGAACCCTGAATACAATAATGAAACCATTTTGCATATTGTGATATTAGCATTAGCATCATTGTTTTTCAGTGCAGAACTGTGGTTGGCAAGAGGGTCTATTCATTAGCATTTGTGTCCCTAAACAGGCCTGTATTAATATGCAACAATTTAACTGTGCAGCAGCAATACAATTAATAAAGATGTCTCCGTGGTTTTGACAGCACAAATTGACAGTAGAGGGGAAAAGACAGGTAGAGTTCAAGAGAACCAAACACGTTAGGAGTTGGAGCGAGTGCATGGAGCTGGTGGAGACAGGCTGTATGACAGATTGAAGGCCACTGACTGTTCTCCGAGAGCAGCTGTGAGAAGTGGGAGTTCTCTGATGAACCAATTATGACTTACTGCAGTACCTCTACACACCCACACTACCATAGTCTGGCCTGTTTGGCTCTTTAGAAGAATGCACTGTGCTTGTGTTTTTGAGCTCTAGTGAACTGACATGAACTGTTATGTAGACCTGAATGATTGACCCGAAAAGCCTTGACAAACTAAAACCATAATTATTTGCAAAATGAAAATCATTATTTCTAGTCTTCATTAATAATTGCAAGTTACTCTAATGCAGTGGTTATCAACCCTTTTGACTTGAAGGCCCACCGTTTTCCAACACAATATTCAAAATGTAAACTGAAACATTAAATATTTTATGTTTTTTAGCATTTAATTTCTATTACCGTTCGATTATTTGAATATACTGATGATAATTTACACATTTAGATACTTTTAAGTTGTCCTGTTGCCCCCTTGGAAGTTTGCTGAGGCCCCCTGCTTTCGAGAACCACTGCTCTAATGCATTTATGGCAAGAAATCATAAGGATATATGCTGAAACTATCCAAAACCTCGCTTTGCCTACGGCTCTCCTAAACTTTTGGGGGGCACTGTACACACTATTGTAGAACTGGGTTGGACATGGTCAGAAATAATACTTGGGTGCCATTGCAATTATGCACTGTTGTATTAAAGGTGCCATAGAATGCATTGATACAATATTATAAATTGTTCTCTGATATCTACATAGAAGGTATGTGGCTTAGGTAAGGGTAGAAATTCTCCAGAAACGGTTTTACATGTCCTTTTACAACCCTAGGATTTGTCCCTAGAATGAAATGGTCTGTTATTACCTTATTTGGAAGGGTCATGAATAATAATGTTGAGCTCTGCTCTGATTGGCTGCTTCACAGCGCAGCTAATTTCAGTAGCTCACACAGCAAACAGCTCTCTACTGTCCGGCGTGAACAATGGAGAGATTAGGCATCCAACCTTATATGTTTGATCAGATGAAGATAAAGATTTTGATAGATTTTGCAAGAATGTTTAGCCTCCATGGTATGAACATGATCGCTGCGAGACGCTGGTGGAGTGAACGAGGCTTGAGAGAGAGTTGTGAGTGAGAGCGCGGACGCAGCTTCTGTGTTGCCAGATCCAGCATTTTTGGACTTGTCTTTTCCACTTTTTTGACACTTTAGAAAGTTCATAAAGTCGGACGTTGCAGTTTAGGGTCAGCGATATCTTTATCTCATCTTAATTGCACAAGATTTGAAATAATTTCGGTTTATTTTTATTTATTTATTGGTTTTTGTTTGTTTTAATAGCAATATCTGGCAACACTGCATCGATGATTCAGCTGTGCAGGTCCAGCTGGCCTAGAACATGGGCTGGTGTACGTTATGCAAATGTTCGGGGCGTAAACATGAATGATCCCGACTGTAACGTCACAGTCGGTGTTATGTTGGGATTCGCCTCTTTTTCAGTGGTCTTTTGCACGCACGAGATTTACATAAGGAGGAGCTCATATATTTATTATTTATTGAAAAGGAGGAATCCATAGATTTTTGTTGTTTTTTTCTGTCCCTTCCAATCTTATACTGTCCAGTTTTGGTGAATCCATGTGCGCTGTAGCTCCAGTTACATGTCATTTGCTAACAGAATTTGACCAATGTGGTCTTCTGATACTAAAACCCATCCACTTCAATGTGTGGTTACTTTAATCACTTAATGAACACAGTGCCACGCTTCACTCTGAAACACACAGCTCATATATTTATTGAATTAAAGCATAGCCTTTGTAATTTCATAATCTTACTGAGACATATTGTGATTTCAGCCCTACTTTCTTCCTCATTCTGATGTTTGGTTTGCACAATTCAACCTATTGAACATTTGCATGTAATAATGCATCTATTTGCTGCTGTGTGAATGACCAATTAGATATTTGCATTAAGAATGAAAGTATATGGTAATGTAAACCGTAAAGTGACCACTGTGTGTATGTTATGGTGTAGTCAGGCGCTTGTAGAGCTTTTGAACTGTGTGCCTGGTCATTGCAGTACCACTTTACTTGGTGATTAGTAGTTTAATCCTGAACAGTAGATGCCAGCTGCCAGTGTTTTTGTGCTATTTCTGTTTACCAGGCAGACACTAGAATACACTAATTCAGAATCACTGAATTAGGACAATACCTGAATGTACTGGAAAGTTCGAAAACTAGCTAATGAACAGTAGAATGCAGCAGTATGAACAAAGATGAAAACATGGAAAGAGAGCTTGTCGTACTTGTTCTTGGTTGTACCTTTGAACCCGAACCCTGATCCTAATCGAAAACTTTACACGTGTATGTGTGTATTTCTTTCCCCCAGGGACACAATGTGGCGTGTGTTTACAGGCTCTCTCTCCATCGAGGAAAAGGAAAAGGGCAGTCAGGTGCTTCAGGACCTAAGGGAGATTGAGTCATGGGTGTATCGGCTGCTGCACTCCCCGGTGCCTGTTGCTGGTCAGCGACGTGTTGACGTGGAAGTGCTCCCCCATGAGCTGCAGCCTGCACTGACCTTTGCCCTTCCAGACCCTTCCCGCTTCAGCATTGTAGACTTCCCACTCCATCTGCCTCTGGAGCTGCTGGGAGTTGATGCTTGTCTGCAGGTCCTGGCCTGCATTCTGCTGGAACACAAGGTATGGATGGCATAGACCCTTAGATTACCATATTTGTGTACTATTTTCATGGTGATACGTCAAAGAACATGGTACCGCCATGCTAAATGTGCAGAAATGTCATGGTACTTTTTTGTTAGTGCATCTATGGTATGGCCATGCTTGTTTTCTCAGTGTATAAGGATGCACCGTATAGCAGTACCATACCTGTTATTGGCCAATTTAATTAATTGGTATTGGTCAATGCTGTTTAATAATAAAAAAAAAAAGTTTAATGTAGTCTTTAGCAAATAATAGTAATATAATAGTAATAGTAATAGTAATAATATTTTATTTATTTTCTAAATAATATAATTTATCATATCATGTCCAGTTATCATAGCATGAAAAGCCAAATATTTAATACTGGTATATTTAAATTCACTTCTATAGCAAACCATTGATTTAAGTTTTTTTTTTTTTTTAATTCATAACATTTTTTTATAATTATTGACTTGTATTGACCTGGATTTTTATACCGGTGCATCACTATTTTAAATTGCTATAGCAGTAATGTAATTCAGAGTTTACTTTAGAGCTGGTTATTTTTTGACACTCCGCTCATTGACATTAAGCTGAGTGTTTAATTTGACAGTCATGCATCGTGAGAGGTAACAGTGTTAATAATTTAAAATATTTGGCGCTGTATTTACAGAGAGTGTTGGACAGGCTGACACTTGAGAGGAAGCAATAATATTAGGCGATTTTTTAAATATAGGCTACTACACTATGTCTGTGTCATGGATGAGGTTAATAGTTGTCTTTAGATCTGCTGTTTCAAATGAGTCTTCATCATTTTGCCAATGCGGGTCACACTGATAATAACGAGGAGACTTACTCTCACCCTTTGCTGTCTGTAGGTGGTACTGCAGTCCCGAGATTATAACGCCCTTTCAATGAGCGTCATGGCGTTCGTTGCAATGATTTACCCCCTCGAGTACATGTTTCCTGTCATTCCACTGTTGCCCACCTGCATGGCCTCTGCAGAACAGGTAACACGGCATCTTTTTTTGAACAGTTGGTGTATAAACATTAAAGCTCTCTTTATTTCTGTCACACACATATCTTCTTTTTCTAGCTCCTGCTAGCACCCACTCCATATGTCATTGGTGTGCCTGCCAGTTTCTTCCTGTACAAGTCTGATTTTAAGATTCCTGATGACGTTTGGTTAGTGGATCTGGACTGCAACAAGGTATATCATCTGTTTAAGCTATCTGTAACTACCCAGACATGGGTTTGTGGATTCTACTATGTTGCAAAGCCTTTAACAATGAATTATGTGTATACTATAGTGGTCTTATGTTGCTTCTGTATCTTCATCAATGTAGGTCATTGTTCCAAGCAACGCAGAATTGCTCCCTCCCCTTCCTGAACCTGAGGCCTCTGAGCTGAAGAAACACTTGAAGCAGGCAAGCGAACCAGATGTTCTCTTCTCTCTAAGTAGCCCTACCATTAGCTCTGAATCTGAAGTGAATACTAACTGGATTCTAGAAGCAATGCATAGTAATTATACTGTCTTCTAACAGCTGCTGTGAACTTGGCCAATTCTTGCATTTAAACTAAAGAGAAGGCTGACAATGGCAAATATATTTTTAAACCCTGTCATTTGAAGCCAAAGGCAAACAGAAAATTAGACCTTTTCTGATGTTTCTAAAGTTTATGTTGACTGTTTCATATTTTAGATGATCCTTTATGTATTGTAATGACTGTATATTCTCCCCCTTTTTTTGTTCCAGCTCTTGGAGGTAATAAGTTTTGAGTTTCACTATCTATAGACTCAATAATGTTTCTAGTTCTCTCGCTTAACCCTTTACAATCCCACATAGACCCTTATCTAGAGCTTCTTACCTGATTCTGGGCACCTCTGAGCTCAATCAAACCCCATTAATATCAACTGTTTAAACATTTCACTGTGTTGTCATTAATCATTGTCATATACTGACCAACTCCGGCCTTCCTCATGTCTTTTTAATAGAGATACATTTAATTTGATCACAATCTGTTGTTTTTGTTTTTGCTGGTCTGCAGCAGAATTTCTCAGCCAAATTGATTTACCATTTTGTTTCATCTTGCATCAAACATAATTATCATGCTGTCATTGTAATAACTCAAGCCAAAATAGTCAATATACTGAATCATCAGTTGTGTCTCACAGACTGTGAGTCATGACTCTTCATTTGCCATTATGAATCACCCTAATTCAGGTCCTCTGGTCTTTTTGTACATGAAAAAAATGGTCATTGTATTTCCACAAAATATCACTAAAATGTCTTTTCTTTTTGGGTAATGCCACCAAAAAGAATAGCCTGTTTCACTTTTTGTTTGTTAAAAGTCCTGTTTCACTCTGAAAAGCATCACATTAATGAAGTAAAGGTCAAATAGGCTAACAATGGCATTGTGTTGACTAACAACTACCAATTAATATTCGCGGTCAAGTTTTGAGTTTTGAACACATTCTCCAATGACAAGTTTGTGTGAGATCTGCTTCCCTTTCCACCTGATAACCCACCAGTTTTCTTCGGACTGGTATGTTTTATGTTATGTGTGCACCCTTCCTCCACTCATGTTTGGTCACATGATTTCCCAATCTTTCTCAGTGACAGGTAGTCATGTGACATTTCCTCCATGTGTTCTTGTGTCCTTCAGTGTCTGGTAAGGTTGACTGTGATCACCCAAAAGCAGATCTTCGCCTCCGATTCCAAGGTTCACAAATCTTTGCATTTTGAATGTGCACGGAAAAATAACCTCTCTCCCCCCGCCATCAACACCCGTAGCCCTACACTCTCTGTGAACTTAACAAATATTGAAACCATACAGATACTTCTTTATTCCATACCCTTTGAAAAAACAATCTCAAAAATGCACACACTTGCCACTCTGTTTGCCTCCATAGCCCTTAACTCTTTGCACTCTTCCTCCCCTTCTCTTTGTGTGATGAAGGACCTACAGAAGCCCCCTGTTTCTCATAGCACTATGTTTGGCTTGAGCATGTTTCAATGCAACTTACATTATGCTCATTAACCCAAAGCAAAAAATCTTCGTAATCGGCTGGAGCAGATTGGTGCGATTGGTTTGATAGCGTGCCGGCCAAATGGCGCGGTGAGCGCAGGGTCTGATGGAATGCCGGCTGAGAGGCATTGAGTGAGCAGTGGCAGAATTCCCAGAGTGCTTTGTTAATGGCTCTATGTGATGACCGCACCCTTCCCTCTAACATTTTGACTATTAAATCTTTGATGCAACACCGTCGGTTCAGGCAATAGCTTTCTCTCTTATCCCCATGTAACATTTTCTCAATTTTAAAGGGATAGTTCACCCCAAAATTAAAATTGTCATCAATTACTCACTCTCATATTGTTCCAAACCCATAAGACTTTTGTTCATTTTTGAAACACAAATTATATTTTTTATGAAATCTGTTCTTCCGTTGAAAGTTCATTTCACCAAAACTTTGACGCTTCAAATAATTCATAAAGACATTGTAAAAGTAATCCATATTAATCTTCTAAAGAGACACAATGGCTTTATATGATGAAGATTCAATTTAGGCAATTATTCATATATAAACATCAAAGCCGACACACTTATATAGAGCTCATCAGATATGGTAAACCGAAGCTCAGATGTGCGTGCCGTGAACTAATGAGATTTTTGTACACGTTTGAGTTTGTTTACCATGTTTAATGTGCTCTATGTATGAGCATTGATCAGTGTTTATATATGAATAAAAAGTCTAAAATAAAGTTGATATTAAACATACTTGGTTTTGAAAGAAATCAAGGTGTGTATGATGGCGGATTTTTAATTTGGGTGAACTCTTCCTTTAATTATGCATCTTATTTAAATAAAAAGAGTGACTATGCTTTCACCTTTGCCATTCAGTAGATCATTAGACAGAAGTTGGTAACCGTAGGCCTCCAATGTGAGACGTGATTGCCTGAGGCGATAGTGCTCTTACATCAGTCTCCCCTGTCAGGATTCATTGTTAAATTGATCTCTCCTGTATCCATCTTCCTCTTCCACCTTTCTCTCTCTCTCTTTCTCTCTTTAGCTC